GAAAATTACAAGGATCGAGAATTTTTATCTCCATAAAGAAAGACCATTGTAAATGAATGGGTGAAGGTTAAATGAAAACTTATTTTTCTTATGCATCTTGATGAAACAGTAATTTTTTCCAAAATAATAATAGCAACAAAGTGCTCCTACATGTGTATATAAGTATATGGACTCATACCTACACAAATGCTTTTGTATAAGTAAAATGAAGAACAGTAATGATAAAAGGGACAGAGGAAGGAACTGAGAATATTTCCTATTATAATGTACTTGTACTATCTGAAGTGGTACAATGTTTTGGATTAGCTGTAAATGCTTACAGAAAACTCAAGGAAAACCATTAAAAGGAGTAAGGAAAAAAAAGAGTGCACTGATATAATAAGAAAGAACAAATCATATAAAATGCTTAATTAAAACCACAAAAGTTAGGAAAACATTTGAAGACAAAAACAGGGGAAAAACAGGGACAAGTAGATAACAGCAACAAATCGCATAGATATTAATCCAGCTTAGATATAAAGACATAGATAGAATGGATCAAAAAATAAAACTCAATTGTATTATGTCCACAAGAAGCCAATTTTAGGGCTGGTGCTGTGGTGTAGCAGGTAAAGTTGCCACCTGCGGTGCCAGCATCCCATATGGGCACCAGTTCGAGACCTGGCTGCTCCACTTCCAATACAACTCTCTTCTATGGCCTGGGAAAGCAGTGGAAGATGGCCCAAGGCCTTGGGCCCCTGCATCAATGTGGGAGACCGGGAAGAAGCTCCTGGCTCCTGGCTTTGGATCGGCACAGCTCTGACTGTTGTGGCCAATTGGGGAGTGAACCTCCTCTCTCTGTGTAACTCTGACTTTCAATAAATAAATAAATCTTTTTTTAAAAAAAGATATACCATGCTAACATTCATAAAAAAATGGGAATAACTAGACTAATTTCAGACATAGTAGAAAAGAGCAGTACTAAGTAAAAAAAATTAACAGGAAGAGTCATTACATAATGATACAGAGGTCAATTATCCACAAATAATAATCCTTAACATGTGTGTGCCTTCTCACAGTGTCAAAATACATGAGGCAAAATCTGAGCAAATTAGAAGGATGAATTCACTATTGTGGCTGGAGACTTTAACACCCCTCTGTCAGCAGTAGACAGATTCAGCAGGCAGAAAATCAGTATGGACATAGTTGAACTCAACAGTACCATCCATCAGCTGATGTAATGGACATCTATAGACTTCTTCATCCAGCAACAACAGAAAGTACATTCTTCTCAAGCTCACATGGGACATTCACCAAGAGAGATCACATTCTAGGTCATAAAACATACCTTAACAAATTTAAGAGAATATAAATCATACAATGTCTGCTCTCAGGCTACAATGGAATTAAGCTAGAAATCAATAGTATAAAGAAACCTGGAAAATCTGAAAATCTTTAGAGATGAAACAACACACTCTGTAGCCCGTGGGTCAAAAAAAGAAATCTCAGGAGCAATTAAAGTATTTTGGACTAAATAAAAATGAAAATGCAGCTCATCAAAATTTGTTAGATATGGAAAAATCAAAGTTTAGAGGAAATTTATAGCATTGAATGCATACATTAAAAAGAAGATTTACAATCAGTGTCTAAGCTTCTGTCTTAAAAAACTAGAGAAACAAAGCAAATTAAATCCAAAGTAGAAGAAAGGGAGGGAGGGATCAGAAATCAATTAAAATGAAAGCAGGAAAAATGTAGTGAAGGTCAATCAAAGCAAAGGCTAATTCTTTGAAAAGATCAATAAAATAAAGGATAAAAGAAAACAAAACAAATGAGACAGGGGATGTCACTATGGGTCTCACAGAAATGAAAAGCATAATAAATATTATGTGTAACTCAATGCCCACAAATTTGATAACCTAGATGAGATGGACCAATTCCTTGAAACACATAATCTGTCAAAACTCACACAAGAATAAACAATTTGAAAAGGCCTATGTCTATTAAACAAATTGAATTCATGATTAATAATCTTTCAAAACAGAAAGTACCAAATCCAAATGAGTTTGCTGGTGAATTCCACCAAACATTTAAAGAAGAGAATATTTATAGGAATAAAGGGAATATTTCCTAACTCGTTCTTCTATGAGGCCAGAATTACTGTAATACCAAGTCAGACAAAGACTTCACAAAAAAGAAAATTAAAGACCAATAACTTTGATAAATAATTCTCAACAAAATATTAGCAAATTACTCTAATAATGTATAACATTACATATGGTGATCAAGTGGGACTTATCCCAGGTATACAAAACTGCGCTAACATTCAAAACTCAAATAATGTAATTCATCCAATAGACTAAAGAAAATGAATCATATGATCATATCAATACACACAGAAAAAGCATTTGAAAAAATCCAACACTCATTCCAAATAAGTTTTCGGCAAACCGAAGAGAACTTCCTCAATTATGTAAAGAACACGTACAAAATAATCTACATCTAATGAGCTAATGCTATACTCAATGCTGAGAAACCAAAAGCTTTTCTGTTAGTATCAGAAAAAATGAAATATGTTCCTTCTCACCACTCCTTTCTAACATCATAATGGAGTCCTAACTATATAAGAGAAGAAAAGGAAACAGAAGGCAGACAGATTGGGAAGGAAGGCATAAACTGTCTTTGCTTGCGGATGACATGATAGTCTATGAAAAAAAATTTGAAAGAATTGGGGGCAGCACCATAGCACAGTGGTTAAGTGGCTGTCTGCAGTGCTGGCGTTCCACATGGGCGCTGGTGGAGTCTTGGCTGCTCCACTTCCAATCCAGCTCCCTGCTAACACGCCTGGGAAAACAGCAGAGAATGGCCCAAGTGTTTTGGCCCCTGCATTCACATGGAAGACCTCTATGAAGCTCCTGGCTGTGGCCTGGCCCAGCCCTGGTTTTTGTGGTAATTTGGGGAGTAAACCAGCAGATGGAAGAAATCTCTCTCTCTTTCTCTCTCTCCGCTCTCTCTCTCTGTAACTTTGTCTTGTAAATAAAGAGTAGATCTTAAATATTCTCACAACAAAATATGTGAAGTGATAGATATATATTAATTAACTTGAATTAACTTGATTTAACCATTGAACAATGTACATATATCAAAATATCACACTACGCATGGTAAATATATGCAATTTTCTGTCAACCAAATTTAAAAAAAAAATACAAGAAATCAAACAAACTTTCAGGTCATGAAAAGACAAAGAGGAAACTTACATGCACCTGGCAAAGTGAAAGAAAAGGTGATATGCTGTATGACTCCAAGTATATGCCAATCTGGAGAAGGAAAAAAAAATTCAAAAACAGTAAAAGAATCATTAATTGTCAAAGATTAGAGGGAAGGAATGAACAGGCAGAGTACAGAGGATTTTCAGGGCTGTGAAACTCTGTATGTTGCTATAATGGTGGATGCATGCCATTAACGCTATCAAACTTTAAACCCTAATGCAAGCTATGAACCTTGGGTAATAAAGATGTGTCAATGTAGGTTCCACAATTATAACAAATGAGCCACTCAGGTGGAGGGATGGATAATAGGGAGCAGTACATATTTGGAGCCTGAGGGTTTGTGAGAAAACGGCTCAATTTTGCTATGAACTTAAAACTGTTTGAAAAACAAAAATCTATTAAAAAAATCTATGTTCTGAGGTCACTATAAATCTACAATGACCAAAATAAAGATGTCAGAGTGTGTGTGGAGCAAGCAGACCCTCTTACACTTGTATTGCTGGGATGTGTATAAACAATACAACTTCTTAGGAAGCTGTTCAGTGGTTTCTTAAAATGTTAAACATACACCTACCCCATGAATTAGCAAATCTACTCTCATACGTTTATCCAAAAGAAACAAAATATGTGCTCACAAAATGTTCATAACAGCTTTATCCATAATAACTCAAAATTTGAAAATTTCCAGTATCCATCAATCAGCAAATAAACCGAAAAATCACCACAATAGTATTCATCTCAGCCACTACAGGGAATGACCTACATATACACACAACGTGGGACTCAAATATGTGTGAAAAGAAGCCAGACACTCAGAAAATTATACACTATGTGATTCTATCTATGTGCGGTTACAGTATACACAAAATGGTGGAGGTAGAGAGTGGGGAGATGCATAGGAAACACTCTTGGCTGTACATAAATATTCTGCCAGGATGTGCATGTGACCTGCCTATAAATTAGACCTCCATATTAAAAGGGCACATTACTCTTTGCCATGCAGAGTGGCTCCTGAGACCAGTCACTTGACCTCACTGGGCACAAGGAATAGGAAAGGGAAGGAAGGGGCATTTAGTTTCTGGTTAAGCTGCAGTTAAGGGACTGAGTTGTGGTCAGTGGGAGGCCATCCCTTACAATGGAATCCCATATGTGGAGTGCTGGTTCAAGTCCCAGTGGCTCTTCTTCCGATCTAGCTTCCTGCTAATGCACTTGGGAATGCAGGGGATGATGGCCCATGTGCTTGAGTCCCTGCCACCCGTACGGAAGACCAGGATGGAGTGGTCTCTGGCTTCAACCTGGCCCAGCCCCAACTCTTGTAGGCATGTTGGGAGTGGGCCAGTGTATAATTTCTCTCCCTCTCTCTCTCTCTGTCTCTCTCTCTCTGTCACTCTCATTTCAAATCAATAAAGAAATCTAGAAATATAGAAATCTAGAAAGAAAAGAAAAGAAAAGATGCCAGTTAAGACACCCATGTCTCATATCAGAGTACCTGGGTTTGATACCTGGCTCCAGATTCTGACTCTAATTTCCTGGTAATGCAAACCCTGGGAGGCAATGTTGATGGCTCATCCTGGCCATCCATGTGAGAGACTTGGACTGAGTTCCTATCTCCTGGTTTGGGCTTGGCCCAGACACACGCAGCTGTTGTAGGTATTGGGATTGGTATAGGATTTCTCTATATTGGTATAGGATTTCTCTGTATCTCTGTTTCTCTCTGTCTCTCTTTCACACACACACACACACACACACACACACACACACACACACACATATCTCCTTATGTATGTGTATCTCCCTTCCAATAAATTTTTTTCAAATGGAAGTTCAAAGTTTGGATGTTAGACAAAGACAGGCTATAGAGTAACGTTCTTAAGAATACTGAGCTCCTGGCACAGCTCAAAACCAAGAGCAAAGGGAAGGTACCTGTATTCTGTCCAAATATCCACATCTTCTCCTGCTGTAACTCATGCTGCCCAGGACTCACCAGGGCTACAGCAAGGCTGAGGAGCAAAGCCTGGGTGTTGCTGGGAGACAGCTGCACGAAGGCATGTCAAAGGTAAAGTTTTTCCACAATATTTTGCCACTGTAGACAGTGAGGCATGATTTTCCCATCTCACTCTGAGGCCCTGAGTTCTTCACGATGATTGAAAGTTCTGCTTTCAAAATCAATGGGAAAAGTGTCATCTTTGATGACATAAGACAATGATGCAAAGGAATATTGGATCATCCATCTTCACACTGCTGGGGAAGCTGTGCATGCCACAGAAACAGCGTGAGGCTGTAGCGATGGCCACTCACCTCCTAAAACTCAGTGGTGTGCCACTCACCAGCCTGTTGCACACACGAGCCAGAGGTTGCAAGTGAAGAGGTTTTGCTGATATGAACTGTTTGATTCATTGAATTGCCAACACTTACCACCAAGGGTTTCACATAAAATTTTAGATTTCCACCTTCTCTTGAAAAATCAGAGCAACAATAAAACATGGAATTATTATAAATGTGGATAACTCTGTACCTGAGCACTTCATGGCAAAACCTGCTGGTGCTAATGGGGGCCAGTCCCCCCGAACGGCACTGTGCTACCTGCACTTGCCCAAGGCCCCCACTTGGCCCATTTTTTCCTTTTATGAGTTGTTGAACCCACCGTTTAAGGTGTCCTTTAAATTGTAGCCATTTGACCTTCTTCACTTCCAAGAGCCCCTGAGAAAATTTCCCATTGGCAATAAAGCAACATTTCATATAAATTACAAAAATTAAAGTGCAGAGCGAATGACTGCCTGAGCTGCTCAGAGAGTGTTCCTGGGTGCATCCAGGAACGGATTGTGACCTTGAGAAATCTGCTGCTCTTCTCTGGGTCTCAATTTTCTGAACTATAAGATAAGGAAATGAGCTTAGCCATCTTTATCAGCTCACTCCTCTATGATAATTTATCTAACCCTAACTGCTCTGGCAGTCAGCCCCCTTGCAGCTGGAGGCTGTTGTATAACATCTGATCTGCTTTTCATCTAATCCATTCAGAAAGGCACATATTTATAAAAACCTTCCCTCATGGCCAAGCTGGCATGTAAAAGACCACTCAGCAAGGCCTGCACTAACAATGCTAAGCCCCTGACATGGCTGAAAACGAAGAGCAAAGAGAGAGTAGCCTGGGCTCTGCCTGTGTATCTGCTCCTCCTCCTGCCATGCTGGTCTTTCCCATGCCCCACCACGGTGGCAGCAGAGACCCCAAATGTCCCGGGAAGATTCAACATCAAAATCCTAGTGAACCCAGGCATGAAATTTCCCAAGGTTGTTTATTCACATTCAGGTTACAAGCCAAGCACAGGAAAAGGTTAGACACACAAGCAAAACCTTTCAGCAAAGGCATCAGGGAAACATCTGTAGATGAGCCAAGAGGCAGTCTCAGAAAGTTGAACCTTCCCTCAAATACCGTAACATAGACTTGGTTCACCAAGCAATCTGCGTGGTTCATGATTGTGCCATTTCCTGCTAAATGTAAGCATATGTATGTGTGCGTACATATTAACATTTATTTATTTGAAAAGTAGAGTTATATAGAGAGAGGGACATACATACACACACACACACACACACACACACACGAGGTGGGGGGAGAGACAGAGAGATTCTCCATCAGCTGCTTCATTTCTCAAATGGCCACAACAGCCAGTGCTGGGACGGATCAAAGGCAGGAGCCTGGAACTCCATTTGGATCTCCCACATGGGTGGCAGGGCCCACGTACTTGGGGTCATCTTCTGCTGTCATCCCAGGCACATTTCAGGGAGCTGGACTTGAACCCAGGACTTGAACCAATGCTCATACGGAATGCCAGCTTAATCTGTCACACCATAGTTCCAGCCCCATACACTTATATTTTAATTTCAGGTCAAATATGTATGACTTTAAATCTATGACCTCATGGAAGGAAAATATCATATACATAACAAATAACTAACAACACATTTAATTAACAGGCCTCGTGTGCTAAGCACTTTACAAACGCATGTGCTCATCTTTATATAAAGCCCCACTTTGACATAAAGGAAACTGAGGCTCAGAAAAATGAAGCACTCTGTCCAAGACCACATGGCAAGGGTGGGTAAGAACCTGATGGGGCTATGCAGACTCTGAAGTCTGTGCCCGGTGATGTTACCTCATCCTTCCCCTCTCACAGTACACAAGAGTTAGAGGTTCTTTGAAAAGCTCCTTTATATCAACAGATAACCTTTCTGTCCACATTGGGAGGACAGCAGCATTCACCGCTCCCTTTATTTGACTCGAGGCACCCAGACGCATCCGTGTCCTTGATAAGAGTCGGATACAATTAGGGACAAAGCTAAGAAGCTGTGTCTTCAGAGCACTGTGTGATCTCTCTGTACATGCCTTCAGGGCTAATGTGTCATGGTTTCCATGAACTCCCTGGACACTTAAGGACTTACATGCACAGAACACTTTTTTCTCTCTTCTGGAGAACCGTTGATAAAATAATAATGATAATAGAGACAAATGTTGAATACCTACTGTGCCGGAAGCACTGTGCCAAATACATCCCCTGTGTCAGTTCTCTCAGCTGCAGTACCGGGTTGGAACCTGCTTCTAACAGCTTGGGTTGCAGAACTATGGAGAGTTCCGATATGCACACAGGATCCAGAGGTCTAACTCAAGTCTGCTCTGACCAGACAGGCAAACTTAGGTGAGACTGTTCCCTCACCGCCTAGAAGAAAAGCAAGGACACACTGCCAGGTATTTGCTTCCTCAGCTCTCCTCACTGCCTGGAAGCCCTCCAATCTCACCTCTTCCTGCCAGTAAAACTCCTCAGTCTCCAGAAACCAGTGTTCCCTCTACGCATCTGATGCTCCTTAGGTGTGTGCCCAGACCAGTCTCAAGCACAGGCTGTTTGGGGTCTGTAGGTTTGATCACCAGTGGAGGCTGGAACTCTGTGTGTGGACTCACGATTGCAGCTCCGCATAGGGCTCACTAAGGCAGCCATCCTCAGCCTCTCTCCCGCAGTAGCCTCCAGCCTGTGGTTTCTCCTGGCTCTCATCCAACTCATCCAACTATTCTCTCCCTCCAGAGCTTCAGTGGTTCTCTGCTCTGTCCCTGTCTCCCCAAGGAGATCCAAGTCTGAGGATGCCACAGACTCTAGCCTGTATGGTCACTTCAGCTCCATGGCTCAGGACCTGGCTGTGGGAAAGGCTCTTTGATCAGACTTCCTGTCCTGCACCCTTTCCAGAGAGCCTGGTCCTAGCAATGCTGAGGTCTACCATGTGAGTCTTCTGCTCAGGAGTGGTCGGTGGCTCCTCAGTGGTGACAGCAAAGTCCAATCTGCCAAGAAAGGCATCTGAGGACCCTGGGCAGGGCCTGAGCTCTGCTGCCTTTGCAGCTCACCTCCTGTTGGCCTCCTACACCGAGCACTGATTCTCGCCATGCCCATGCTGCCCTCTCCCAGCTTTTGCTCATACAGAGCCTCTCCTTCCCATTGGCTTCTCCAGATCGGAGCTCCCTTGAAGCAACCCAGCCCCTCTCCACCCATACTGGTCTTTGCAGCCGGGAAGCCCCGGCCAGAGCAAGAACTTCAACATCTCTGTGGACCACCAGCGGCATCTACTTTCCTGAGAGGCCAGGCCAGCCTCTGCCTGCCCTGGCTGGGGTTTCTAACAAGGGAGAAGACAGTTCTGCAGGGAGGAGAGAAAGACAGGCAGTGAGGGGCACGTGAGTTCAGTAATCCAGCCAGAGTCCAGAGCATAGACACAGAGGCAGGGAGAGAGCGGGTCAACATTCCCCTAAGATTCCATTAGGGCCATGGGAGAATTTGTTACTGTTTGTGGGACAGGTAAGTGAATCAAATTTTACTTAAATCATTTTTCCCAGAATTGAACATGGATTTCACATTCAGTTCTGCAATGTAAGTTTCCACCTAATATCTCTTAGAAATGTTTTCACATCAGTCCATATTGACCCTCAATAGTTATTTTCATTCATTGCCAGAAAGAGAGCCATGCAGAAGTGTCAGAGGAGCTCTTCCTCATGTTCTTTTTTCCTACAGGTTCATGTTAGACACACACACACACACACGCACGCACGCACATGCACACATGGCCTAGCTCATAGCCAGAACTCAGCCAGAGCTTATGGAAGGGGGCCATCATTCATGGTCCTGAAGCATCAGAGTCTATGTATCACATTTATCTGGAGTAAGTTGTCAGTAACAGCCAATCCTAGCCCTTGCCTAGAGAAATAGGTGTGAAAAGTCCATGTGAAAGTAACATGAAGCCCTCGCTCTGCCAAGGCACTCAAGCCAATGCTTCTGCTTTTACAAATGTCTTAGTCCACTTTCTGCTGAATATCTAGACTGGGTTCTTTGGGAAAAATTCTTACAATCTTGAGGCTGGGAAGTCCAAGGTCAAAGGACTGTCCCTGGTGAGCACCTGCTGCTGGTGGAGATGCTCTGTAGAATCCCAAGGCAGCCCAGCAGCCACACAGTGAGGGGACTGAAGAGAGACGGCCAAACTGGCTTTCATAACAGATCCACTCTCATGACAACTAATTCATTCCCTTGATACTCTATTAAACCAGTAATCCATGAATGGATTAGTCCATTCAACAGGGCAGAGTTTCATGGCCGGCACTGTGGCATCATGGTTAACTTCTGCCTGCGGTGCCAGTATCCCCAACGGTGACTATTCTAGTCCCAGCTGCTCTACTTCTGATGCAGCTCCCTGCTAATGGCCCAGGAAAGCAGTGAAGGGTGGCCCAAGTGCTTGGGCCCCTGCACCCATGTGGGAGACCCAGAAGAAGCTCCTAGCTCCCGGCTTTGGATTAGCTCAGGTCTGGCCATTGTGGCAATTTGGAGAGTGAACTAGTGGATGGAAGACCTTTCTCTCTGTCTTCCCCTTTCTTGGTCTGTAACTCTGCCTCTCAAATAAATAAATCTTAAAAAAAAAAAAAGGAAAGAGTTTCAACACCCCAATCACCTCTCAAAGGTTCCACTTCCAAATATCATTAGCATGTGGTTTTGGGGATTAAGTTTCCAACACATGAATTCTAGGTACGTTCAAACCATAATACAGCACAAAACCATGCTAAGCCCATTCCCATACCCTGGAACCGCCTCTTGCCACATAAATGCTGAAATATCAATGGTCAGAACCATCGAGGAGGTAAAGTCACAGCCACAGGCATGCACATCATGTACTTTTTTCTTTTTTAAAGGTCTATTTACTTACTTGAAAGGCAGAGTGGCATCAACACAAAGAGAGATCTTCCATCCAATGGTTCACTCCCCAGATGGCCACAACAGCAGGGCTGAGCCAGCCTGAAGCCAGGAGGCAGGAGCTCCATTCAGGTTTCTCACGTGGTGGCAGGAACTCAAGTACCTGAGCCGTCAATCTGCTGCTTCGCAGCTGCATTAGCAGGGAGCTGGATCAGAAGTGGGTTAGGCAGGACTGGAACCAGCGCACCAGTGTGGAAGAGGGGGCGTTAATGAGGGTGCTGATTTCAGCCTAGCTCCTGGCTCACGGTGAAAGTTGCTCTCCTCTCCATGCAGTGGCTGTGTTTAGGGGCCCACAGATGATTGTCTCAAAAAGAAAAAATAAACCTTTATTCAATTTTTCCATGAGACTCTCTTTGTCCTTTAACTGTTCCTGTTCAGTGCCTTTCTGTTATCCTTGTTGATTTTCTCCATCACTGTATGTAGTACAATGCACCCAGATCCTCATCTATCAGTGGGTTTGTGGGAATCTGGGCAGTTCTCCCGCATAACTTCCATTAACTTCCTGAGACTTTTCTCCAATATCTCTAATTTACTTTAAACTGTTTGCTTTTTGTAGTCAGAGCTTTACAACAGCCAACAAAGAGCAGGGCCCTGATTGAAGACAAATGGATCAGACAATCAAGGGTGGAGAGAGACCAGTGTTTAAACAAGGAGAAAGGGCACGGATATCTTCATGTTGTAAAGGCCAAATCATCAGACATCAACGACTGGTCCACCTCCTGTTAGAACACGGAGAGTTTTCTGTGAGTTATTTTTCAAGTTCCGACTTTATATTTGTCCCTGGAGTTGATGAAGCTGGTCATATTAGTGACATTTTTTAAGTACTTATGTAAAACTTTACACATTTTTAAAGTTCAAAACTTGTCATGGTCTTCATGAGTTACTTGTCTGCATTCAGGAGTGTGAAGTTGGTCCGAGGGGGCTTGGTAAGAAGCTGGCTGTTGCTGCGACCCAGCCCCAGTCTGTAGATTAACTCCGCTCATGTCAAAGCCTCCTTCTTACTTCCAGGCTGGAAGTGACAGGCCCGACAAGGGTCCCAGGAGGGCCCTGGCTGAGAAACTTGCTGTCTCGTTTGTTTCCCTAACATATACCCCATAGAAGGCATGTAGCATAAGGGCTGTGCCTGCATTTCATGCCTCCTGTCTGTTCTTTAGTTAGTAATTAAGTATGCACAGCTACAGATGTGTTGCGGGAAGATATCATCCGAGCCTTGACAAAGAAGCAAAATTATTCATACAATTTATCATCGCAACCATCTTGAATGCTAACGAGAATGCTCCTTGATTAGAATTGTCAAGGAGCATTTGCACCCATGTCCTGTCAGGGAGCGGTTCCCCTGCCAGATGCTGCCTTTCACACTACCCGTGCTTTCTCCTCTTACAACCTCCCTGGCCTTGCAGAAACAAAATGCAATAAAGCGAGCCTGTCTCCCTTCTCCCTTTTCTCTGATGAGCAGCTTTCCAAAGGACTTTCTGGCTTTGTTCTTCAGTGGAGGGGTGTGGGTGGGTGGGGCACTGTTTGTGTTAGCTCTCCTTTGAAGACTATTGTGAGAGCAGGAATGTGGGTCTATGGGACCTATCCTCTCAGCAATCAGTGTGCTGGGATAGGTGCTTAGCTGCGACATGCTCTTCTGCTCAGTGGAAACACAGGAGGAATGTGGATAGGGCTGCCTGCACCACTGGCATCCCATATCCGCCACCAGTTTGAGTACCAGATGTCCCGCTTCCAATGCAGCTCCCTGCTGATGCTCCTGGGAAAGCAGCAGAAGATGGTCCAAGTTCTTCGGCCACAATCACCCATGTGGGAGACAAGGATGGAGTTCCTGGCTCCTAGCTCTGGCATGGCCAGCCCTAGCCATTGCAGCCATTTGGACAATAAGTCGGTGAATGGAAGCTTCTCTCTCTCTCTCTCTCCCCCTCTCCCTCTCTCTCCCTCTCCTTCTCCTGCTCTCCCTGCCTTTTAAATAAATATATCCTTTTTAAAACAACAGATAATGATTTTAAAAATGGAAAATGGAAGCTGCTAACCATTTGACCCAGGATTCCTTGTAGGTGGCCTTGCTCTGAAGAGCTGACCTGTTTGGAGTTTCAGCTCAGATGTGAGACACACCTTCAATCCCCATTTATGGAGGAAGGGTAGATTTAGGAGGTGGAAGAGGCTCTGTTCTCTCACTGGGGTGGAAAGTAGAAAGCAAAGCATCTGTAACACATTGAAAGGAAGTGGCACATGCCCCAGGAAAGACCCTTCAACCCCCAAACCCTCCTCCCACTCTGTGTGAATTCAAGCTCTCTTGCTGACAACATGAAACCACGGTTCTGGTCCAAGGTCAAGAGGCCACATCTGGCAAGCGCATTCTTGCTGGAGAGTCCTGAGGTGACACAGAGCATCTCCTGGCAACAGACACGGAGCATGAACAAGATTCAGCCTAACTGACGTTTGTAGCACACCCATCCTTAAGATAATCCACTAGCCCATTAATCAGTCCATCAGTCAACTGAATGGATTAACGCATTTGGGAAAGCAAAGACCTGATCACTTCTCAAGGTTTCACCTGCTTCTACCTGTGAATATTTCATAATAGGGGTTAAAGTTTCAACATGCGTTTTATAGGAGATAAACCACATTCAAACCCTAGCTCACACTTAGGGACAGTATTCGTGCTTCTCCATGGGAAGAGGAGAACTGTCTACTAATTGTTTTGTGGGCTCCTTAGCCAGCTGTAAATCTACTCCTAACACTAACTTTTAATTCATCAAGATAAGTAGGGTTTTAATGCAGCATCTTGTCACCATATTCAATGTTTATAAATTAATCTTCAAGTTGTATTGATTGGAAAATGCATTAAGCACAAATCCATCTAATTATCCTTGGGCTAAAGGCTTGGTCAGATCCCCACCCAGAGAGCAGGGGTCAGAGAGTGCAATGCTGGAATCTGCTGCAGAGAGCTCTGGTGGACTCCAGTCCTCAGCACCAGGGTGGCCTGGGTGACCTTGAGAAGGCATCCCAGGGCCTCTAGCAGACATCAGAATTAAATGCTCACATGGGGAACATGTGAATCCTTGTAAATGGCCAACATTCTTCATGTTTTTATCCTGGAGGAAGGAAGGGCTTACACCGACTTCACTAGACTGTGACTTTCAAAGATTCCCTATAAACCTACCCATTACCCCACTCAATGCAGTGACTTCACTGCAGACATGGGGAGGCCAGAGCTCGAACATCAGACCAAGCTGTAAGTATTTCCTACCTTCTTGTTTATCTTTCTCGTTTGTACATCTGAAGACAGTAGCATTATGAAGACAGTTCAACAGGTTCATGGAAAGTGGAATTAAATGTATGAGTTTTCTTGGTGCAAGAAAACTTTTGGTGCAAAAAATGTTTTCTCATAATATATGGAGAATGAATATTATAAAAAACTATACATAGATCTAAAAAATGCACTAAAATAAACTCATACTTTTAAATGCATTTTCCCAGGACCATTTTAAAGCAGCCTTGCCAGGCTTCCTCGGAACCTATATTACACTTGCTGGATGATTCAGTTAACACTGGAACCCTCAGATCGCTTGCTCCTAGCTATCTAAGATCATAGGTCACATCTGTCCTATGCTCACTGAAGCCCAGATGTTAAACCAGAAGATCTCCATTACCCACCCCCATCCCCATCTATCTCTCTCTGATACTCTGCCTTTCAAATAAATATTTGTTAAAAGAAGACATGCTTTACCTGTGTGTCCTGCCAGCTGCAGAGCCTCAGGGGCACTGCTGCCATGGCCCTGGTCTATGAGCAAGTTTGGCTGGCAAACTGAAGGGGCTTGGGAGACAGGGAGTTCATTGGAGACAAGCAGTTGGAAGAGAACCCCAGGCAGAAGGGCTCATAGATGATGAATTGGCAGTCTAGACCCTGAGAGCAGGACAAACATCTCCCACTGAAAAGGTTTCTTGTAGAGCTGGGACTTGAAAGATACACACAGGCATTCGTTCAATGGATGCAGAAGGGAGGAAATGGGCCAGGGCATGCTGGAGTATGGACTTGGGGAAGCAAATGCTGTGAGATGGGCAAGTGTGAGGCGCTGTAACAGGTATGAAGGGGCAAGAGGGGTGAAGGTGGTTGTTAAGGGTCCTTGATGCCACACTGAGGATTTCAGGTGACATTTCTTTTATTTGTTTACTTATTTATTTATTGAAGGTCAGAGTAACACAGAGACAGAGAACAACAGCTACAATGGCTTGGGCTGGGTCAGGCTGAGCCAGAAACTCCATCTGGATCTCCCACATGGGTAGCAGGTGCCCAAGTTCTGGGGCCATCTTCCACTGCTTTCCCAGGTTAATTAACAGGAAACTGTATCAGAAGCAGAGCAGCTATGAATTGAACCTGCACTCTGATATGGGATGCCAGCATCATTAGCAGCAGCTTAACCTGCTGTGCCACAATGCCATCTTACAACAGGTGCTTCTGTGCCTGACTCCAGCTCCGATTTCAGCCACATCTGTGGTAGAGAGCTCTCCTGCCTGTGGCCAGCACCCGACCTCCAGCACCTGCTGAGCTTCTGTACTTTTCCGCCCCAGGCTTTTCCCCAAATCTGTGGAGCTCCCTCAGCTATTCCCAGGGAGTCCTAGAAGTGCAAGAAAGCTCCCACCCCTGGGAGGTCCACACCGTCAGGTCCCACGTTTCAGAGCAGGCCCTGGCTCCAGCACAGAACAGATGAGTTTTCAGAGAAGTCTCTCTGGGATTGGCCCCAGGGGCCCACAGTGGTAAGAAGCTCCAAAATTCACATTTGATGACATTTTCTCTCTTCCCTGTCTCCCTGGCCTGCTCCCTGGCTCCTGCCTCCTAGCCCTACCTCCCAGATCTGTGTATCTGGCCATCAGGAATCTTGGACACATCTGTGGGAAGGAGCCAAGAATGATGCACCTGTAAGGAATGACAGTAATGCAAGGTGAACAGAGTTAGTGACTGAGAAGAGAGAGAGAGATTGGGAGAGGGAGGGAGTTTCATAAACAGAGATGAAGGCAGAGACAAACAGAAACACAGATATAAACAGAGAGACAGACAAACAGAAACACAGATATAAACAGAGAGACAGAGAATAGATAGCCTAAGGGACAGAGTGACAGAGACAAACATGAAAATGGAAGTAAACAGACACAGAGACAGACAGACAGAGAACAGTGCCAAGGACAAATGGTGAGAGGACAGCGAGAGAGGCATCAGAGCAAGCTTCCTAGAGGATAGGCATATGACCCTGGAGAAGACAGCCCAGCCCCCAGGAGGGCCAGACATGAGGGCAAAAGAATAGTCCACTGCCAGGAGGAAGTCCCAGTTCTGTTTGTGCTGTGGTGGCTCAAGCCTGGCTCCTGGGGCTATGAGTCCCCAAGGGGACTCCCCTACTCCACCTTCTGCCCATTCTCCTGCCCCTCCTTGATCCTGAGCCCCTGAAAGCAGGCAGCAGGGAGGGAAAAACTGCTTTTTCCCAGTTCAGAATGTGCTGGTGCTGCTTGGCCACGTGGCGCAGCATCACAGGACAAGGTGACAGAGCAGCTCACTGGTCCCCAACACCTGGAATGACACCTTTGCAGCTGTATAAATTATTAACACCTCACCCTACCCGACACAGCACATTTTCATAGGACAGATGTTTCTATTCACGTTTAATATGGAAAGAACCTGTTTAGGACAAAATATCAAGCACAAATGCCATGGGTCGTGGCATGAAGT